CCTGGATAACACCAACCTCAAGGCAAGTAAATATTGGAGACATTTAGCAAAACAAGATAAAAGAAAATGTGTTCCCTCTCTCCCTTGACCCAAAGATATTCTTCAAAAAGAGAGAGGCACAAAGAAGAAAGCTTATAGATTTCCCACCCACCCCTTGTCCAGAGCTTATTGATACTGGGCAATTAACATTTAGTCAATAATGGGCTGATATCACCAAGTACCAGACTAATAAATGAGGCATTCAAATCCAGTAAACATAGTAATACAATAGACTTGACCATTGAACCATAGAAACATGCCAGAAGGAAAGCTTTTCCATCTACTGTTAACAATACCCTTCTCCAAAACAATTCAAGTCATGAATTAACTCCAAAAGATATTTTGGACAAATGGAATAATTTTGGAAAAACAGAATGAGTGTACAGAAACATTATAATTCTGGTCATCATTGTTGTTTACTTAGGAATACACATTTCCTTCCTGAAGAGATCTACTGTACTTTATATTTAATAGTTTATTGAACACTCTTCAGTGAGCATCAGATGAAGTGTGAGTACTTTGTATCCAGACACTGTATCTATGAATAGCACAAGGGTTGAGCCGGAGCTTTTAGAAATGATCTCTCTTATTTTGGACAGTACATTTTCCTGTCTCTCGACAGGAAGATAAGTCACACAAGGAAGCAAAGCCTGAGGGGAATGACAAGAATATTCATTCTCCACAAGTCAACAAACTGAAACATCTGAAAGATTTTCAAAAAGAAGCTAATCTCTCCCTGAGAGATATATCTGCTGACATTTGGACCATTCAAAATGACTACTTCCTTGATGTGAATGAAGGTCCATATGTCTCCTATAGCTTCCCCCTTAACCCAGGAAGGAATTTGACAAATTTCTCTGTGATGTAGATACCTTTGCAATGAAGGTGATTGAGAGCTATGAGAGTACTTTTCAGATCTTAGATCTCCAGCAACTTGTAGAAGCTTGCATACTGCATTATGGCAAAGATGCAACTATTAAGAGACTATTAAGAGAGATGCAGGATATGCAAAATACTAGAGTGCTGTCTTTTCCTTTGTGTTTGTGGACAGCCTGAAGACACGACTGAGTCAGTTATTATAACTTACAAGATTTGTGAGAAAGTGTGACTTATGACTTCAAATATTACACATTTTTATACTACTTCTATGGGAATTAATAGATCTTGTAAGATACCTATGTTTGATCTAGGTTGTCCATTAATGTTCAATAACATTCAGCATAAAGGTCATGCAGTGAGATCTCTCCACTCTTTGTAAGATATCCACAAGCTTAAGTAGTTTAAATTAAGCAAGTACATCATGTTCTTAATGAAATAACAGCCTTTCAGCCTATAAATACATTGATTCAACTATCAAAATTGGAGATTGGCAAAAGTAGCTTTGTAATTCACTGGAACCAGCCCAATCCCTGTATGATAAACAAGTTCATCTAAATGCCACCCTCCTCTGTCTTCATAGGTGTTGAGTTACAATGAGTGGGTCCGGTTTCCCCTAAAGTATATTGTCTAGTGTATTCCAGGGCTTGAGGTACTAGTGGAAATTTTTATTTTCTGAGAACCGTGTCCTTACAATAAAATATACATTTATACAGCACCTTTCACATTGGGAAGATGTCTCAAAGTGCTTGACACTCATCAAGCCGAGGCTGGGGGCATAAGGAGGTGGGGAGGAGAAAGATGTCCAAATGCACTGTCAAAGAGATGAGACCTTGAACGATGCTAAGGAGAGACGGAGGGAGCAAAGGGCACCCTGAATCCACTACATCAGTGGTTTGGTGAAATAAGTTAGCATGAGGACAATCGGATGAATAAAAATACAAGGTTCAGTAAGAGAAGGATGGCTCAACATCCTAAAATTCCTGGTTACCACCCGGAGAAGGAAAATAACACTTTGCCAATGGGCCCACGAGATTAAGCTAATGTGCTTCTCACAGTAAAAACAAATCATGAATAATTTTAAAAAGACAAAAGCTTTGGGAACATTCAAACTCTTCCCCTTTTCTATGAAGCGGGTAAAAAGACTGGATGCAGCAATTGACTGTAGTTGCGGAGGTGCTAATTTAGAACAATATCATCCGTTGCTTGTGTCTTTGGATAATGTTCTTGTCCCTGTGGTGAAGAACACCTGCTGACAATAGAAGGGAAAGAGGCAGAGAAGAAAGAGAGAGAATTAAGGGCACTGGTTTCAGCTTAGAAGGTTTAAAGCACCATTCCGTTGGAACCGGTCCTGGATAAATTCTTCTGTTCAACACTGGTTGCTGTGCTCCCTCTGCTGGCTACAATAGGAGCACAAGGTTTCAAAACTAATAATGGGCTACAGTTATTCAGCATTGTACACTGGTCTCCCAATTTTCACTTTGTTAAAATACTAATATTAGAATTTATAATACATTAGTGTGTGCATGTTTACCAGAAACGTTAGAGATAGAAGAATTAGTCTATTAGTTTTCACATTGAAAACTTGTATCGATAGTATTCTACACTCAATTTCTTAGAACTGATCAGAAATTCAGCTTTGGTAAATTCCTTATTTTTACATACAGTTTCAAAGTGTCAGAGTCCAATTTGGGTATTGTGTTTAATGAGATTCCTTAATAAGAAATCCCATCAATTCCCATCTAAGCTCCTATTTGCATGACCCAGATTTCTTATCAAGAAATCCCTTTATGAATTATCACAACTTAGACCCCGATATCTTTCTAAAAAAAAAATCAGTTTGCAATGCATGATCTAATAAAATGGCGCAACAGTCCTGACAGGTTCAACAATCTTCCCTCCTGTTCTTATACGCCTAACTAAAAATCCAAAACTTGGCATTTGGGGGATTGTCGTTAGTCATTTTGTGAATATCACAACTCAAAAGTCTTCCAACATCGCAAACTAGAAGCTACAATTAACATGGCAAATCTGGTTTGTGAATATAACAAACTGAACCACAATGTGGAGCGACAGAAATATCAAGCTTTTTTTGTGGCGTGCTGGGATGAAGGTATTCCTGTTGAAGCAGTGCACTCCTAAAGAGCTTTGAACTGTATATATGTCCACCTGGTAAGGAGGTTGCTGATGCTGATATATTGTAAACAAAAAAGACTGATTATTCAATATTCTTCACCAAAAAACATAAGCAAACAGTACCAAGGATGGGTTGGTGGTGCAGCTTGCAGCGTCCTGCAACACACAAGAGCTTTACATAGTGAATTGAGAACCTGCTGGGAAGGGATGTCGCCCTTGAAGAGTATACAGTATAGAATATGGCAATGTCATTGTAGGGGATGAGTTGTTCATAAACATTTCATTCCAACAAATTTCAAATGTAAATGGTATAAATCCTGGCAAAAGATTCTGCATGTGCTTCCATTTTTAACATTATCCCTTTTAACAAGCCTTTTTTTGGTGACATGTCCAGTCAAAGAATGCAACGCTTTCTGAAAATAGTATAATAGTCATAAGGAAATTCCACATTTACAAAGGATTACCTTCACAATGAGGAAAACACACAGAATGATACTGAAAAGTAACAGAGATGAGACAAAAAGTTGACAAGGACATAAACACACACACACACATATATATATATATATTATATATTATATATATATGCATGTAAAGAAACACATTGACACAAAGACACAGACACAAAGACACAGACACAAAATGCATTTAGCATCCAACCAAGCTTTCACCATCTTGGCAACATTTGCAAAACTTGCCTTTTCTCCCGTTAACGGGCGCACAATGAGTTTTCTCCTCAGCATCTTCATGACATTAAAACAAACAAACAATGGTATTAATAGACAATGACAAAACATGAGCAAAAGAAACAAGATGCTGAAGGTGTGAAACATCCAGACAGTCTAACACACAGAAAGATAAGATGATGACTAGACTTATGTTGAAATAGCACAGCAAAAGCATTAAGAGCAAATGGGAGAAACTATAAACACATGACACACAGAATATTTTCGTAACTAATCATGTTGGTTGCCACAACAACACGTGTTAATTCAAACAAATGGCAGCAAAAGACAAGTGCAGATTCAAATCGGTTTCATTTCTCCAAGTTTAAAAACAACTGGATGCAACACGTTTTCCTTATTCAATTTGAGCTTTCATTTAATCTTACGGCTATTTGTCTACAGTCAGTATAGAAACAAAATATAATTTACCGATGACATGTTCAGTTACTTTCATGTGGAAGGTGTGGGTTATAAGTTTTGAGTAACTGATTAAGCCCAGTTTATACCCGAGGCTGTTGCTGCTTTTGCTACTCCATCAGTCATAATGTTTTTTTCCTCATCAACATGAGGGTACATATTGTTCAAATATTCTGGATTATTCTGGAAATACAGCTCATAAGGATGGCTGGAAGATTTATGGATTCTCAGGCTACTTATATCGTTATTTCATACAAAGGTCAAATACAAATTTAATGTGTGTAATCACTTCCAACTATTAACAAAGTGGTAGGTCTTGACTGGAATGCCTTTAAAATTACTACTTCTTAATGGTTGGATTTCTGCCAACACTATTTTTGCCAATTCAACTCTTTATTTATAAAACAAGCTTTAAAAAAGGAGCTGATAATTCAAGATCATTGGTTGTGCGGTGTAGCCACACCCTGATTCTCATTGCAAAGTACCAAAGTATGCATGTATCACAGTTATATTCACTGCAATGTGCATCTTAAGATAACCTACAAATGCCTGGTTCCAAAGGGCTCAGTTGCAACAAGGTCAGAAGCTTCCTTAACAAAAGTATGACTGAAGAATAAAATTGTTGGGCCCAGCACTGATTAAATGATCTGAAGATCTCACTTTAATAAAGGAAGCATAAATAAAGAAATAATAAAACACACAAACACACCAATACACAGTTGTAATACCACAGTAAGAGGAATCTGCCAACACAACACAGCACACAAATGGCACACGATTACAAACAAGACACATGGTGAGACAGACCTGCCTCCACCTCTGACCACTGCTCCAGAGCATTCTGATCGTCTTCTTCTGCATGATACCAATAAAGTTAAAGTTCAGATAAATAACAAAGCTTTCCAGACGGGCCTATAGTTTAACTGACAAGTAAACCCCGAAGAAAAAAAATGATCAAAAGAACTGCAAAAGACAGGTGAAAATGTAAACGTGACAAGGGCACTTGTCAGAACGTTTATTTTCAAAACACACAGATCTATCCATAACAGTATTGTTTTTAATAATCACACAAGTGAAATTCTCCAACTACTCAAGGGGCAAATCCCAAGCCAGTGTTCACTTTCTGATTGCAGTGGGGACAAAAAACATGTAAAGTTTGCTTTATGTCAGACTCATAAAAAGACAATTGTTATGCCAGTCTTTGGCTATTTCTTCAGAAATTTGATTTTGACATTTCAGCAAAAAAATACTGATAGGAATTCAGTGCCAGAGTGCAATTCGAAGCTTTCAAGTGCATCATTGTGCAATTTTCAAAGTAAGTACCTTACAATTATTTTGTACTACGAACCCACTGACAATAAAGGAAACATTTTTATTCCTCTCCTTCAACATTTATTTGTGGTTTGAAGAGCAAAAGTGCTGAGTTTTTTTTAAATATATAAAACTCTCATAAATATACCTTAGTGGCACTAATAATTAGATTGTCATCAGAAAAATGTTCACTAAAATCTCAATATTTCCAATGAATTAATTGATTGTTCCAAACAGCCACAACATTGAAATTCTTCCAAAAGTACATCAACTATCTTCATTGACCTCACTTTTTGTGCTAATTTATTTTTCCTACCAGTTTGATTTTGTCTGACTTTGTTTCCACCCCCCTTTGTTGCTTTGTTCCAAAGTCCGGTTTAGCTCTAACCAGCCTTAAAACAACACAATAATGACGTACTAAATATTTAATCCATATTCTAAATATACTTTTGAATTCAGAACATTTACATTGAGTAAATAGTGCTGAGAATATCTTGCACCGCCATTAAAACCAGTTGAAAAATATTTTTACACACACAACAAACACATTTTGCCCTCCTCTGATAGATAACTCCCTCCAGCAATAAGCACCATGGATATTTAACATCACAATAGAGCAAGACAACCGAAAATCACGTACTTAATTATCAATGCAATTACAATGTATGCAGTAACAAAAACAGAAGTCGCTGGGAACACTCAGCAGGTCAGGCAGCATCTATAGAGAAAGGAAAGCGAGTCCACGACGCTTCGTCAGAACTGGGGCATGTTGGGAGGGAGAGGCTTTTAAGGATCTGCTGGGACATGTTGGGAAGGATCTTCTTCCTCCCAACATGCCCCAGTTCTGATGAGGGGTCGTGGAACCGAAACGTTGACTCACTTTCCTTTCTCCATAGATGCTGCCTGACCTGCTGAGTGAGTGTTCCCAGCGACTTCTGTTTTTCTTTCAGATTTCCAGCATCTGCAGTATTTGGCATTTTGTTTACTATGTATGCAGTGACTTCTCATAGGATTCGTTAATATGTGGGGACTCATTCTAATATTTCACATTGACCCGTGGGGACTCTCTGAAGCTAGATTGCAGAGGAACAGATTTTCTGTTTTCAGAAGGAATCCTGTTAGAATTTGCCACACAAGACACAAATAATGTGAATTCACAAAATGTTTATTGCAAGCTCTGTTATTGATTTGTCATGCTGAATCATGAAATTCAATGCTGAACAGTGATGCATTTTACCATCTTAATAGTGAAGTTCTACAGAAGTATTATAAAAGCTTTTAAACTGTATTGCTGTTTGTCTTGACAGCATTTCAGTACATTATGAATTTTACTCTTTTGGGTCCTAGTTGAGGTAATGGGTCTACTTTGTGCTAATATGTAATGGAATTTCTTATGTAATCGGAAGCTTTGATCGAAAGAAGCTGCTGCATTCTTTTTTTCTCCAAACTGCAAACCTGCAATCACGTTGACAATGTGTTGTTTGGAAAAAAGGATTGTAACCCTCACACTGAAGCTGAACTGGAAGCCATTCAAAAAACTGTGGGTTGCTCCTCCCTACCTCTATGTTCTACTAAAACATTACCCACCTGTCTGCTCCCTCCATTCAGCAGGCACTGGCCTGCTCTATGTCTCCTGCCTCCACCATCAGCAATCTACCCCCACTCTCTGGAAATTCATCCCAGAGCACCTCCACTTCGCCCCCTCCCTTGCTCCATCAAGGCCCATCTCAAGACCTTTCTATTTGAGGCTTCAGACAGTGAGGGGAAAAGGAAAAAAGGACATTATATGAGCACCCTTCTTGTGCCAGCAATGGGGTAACCATGGTGATTGGAAGAAAAGCTTTTCAATGATGGGATATGATGATTAATTACAATTCTTATCAATATAAATACCAACTGTAAATCCAGTTGTATATTTTAAAAGGTTTAACTTGATCACATTAGGTCTGAATGTTTATAATAGACCATAATCAAAATGATGTATTCCAATAATAATCAATACATTCATTACATATTGAGTTACTCGTTGTAGAACTCAGTGAATCCCAACTAAGCTAAGCCAGTCAATGTATCAATTCATGGTATACAAGGTGAGAAATTTTCATGCAAGTCACTGCCAATAATAATAACACTGCACGTGTCAAGTTAGTAAATCATTACACCAGCATCTACCATACAATTCGGCAGATACCCCTTGGTTCCTATGCTATACAGTTGATTTTCCAAGTCCTATATCTCGAAGAGTAACAGGAAGTGAAACGTTGCACTGCAACAGTATGCAGGGCTTCAAATGGCCAATGTTGAAAGCTTTTGTATTTGATCTTATTGATGGTAACTCAAATGATCTCACTATAACAGTCATCAACCTCATTTAGTGCACAACGTGCTGGACTTAATGCTAGCACAGAATAATATCACCTCAAAAGCACACATAAACATTTCATTCCAAAGTGGATGTTCAATACCGCAGAATCAATATTCATATATACTTAAACCAAGTATATGAATTGGTTTTATATTTCGATGTTTTTCTTCCCCATTCTCTAAAAACAAAAGGCAACTGCAATTGACACCAAATGGTTTCAAGCCCATGGAATGAATGGATTATATTGACCAACACTTGAGAGGAAGGATTCTATCTCTATTTCCCAGTTTTATGCCAGACCTAGAATTACTAAGTCAAGTTTTCCTTTGTAAGAAAAAAAAATTAAAAAAAGGTTTGGAAGCTACGAACAACTGAAACTAAAGAAATCTATTGCAGTTGGGTTTATTTTTGTAAACATCGTCTAGAAGTTGCTTCACAAAAGCAAACCCATCTCTATTTACAAACCTTCATAAAGATCACTCCCTTCTTCTCCATTTTCTGGGAAGAAAGCAACGGAAAAAAAGAAACAAAAATATAAAAGGAAAACAAAAGATTTCACAGATCAATAACAAATAAAGTTGATGTTTTGTTTCTTAAAAGCTATGAAAATAAAATATTGGTGTAGTGAAATTTTCCATATAATTCAGTAGTTACTTTATAACTTATAATATTTCTTATAATTTAGAAGCAGTTATTTTCAGTTATAGCTCTATGCCTCTATAAGCAATAGGAAAATCTGAAAGCAAACAAAGGACTCATATAGTCACACTGCAATTGTGCACTACAATCCTGGTTCTGGATGAATAAACTATTTTATGCACCACTAAAGTCACATAAGTACTTTATTATCTAAAAATATAACTCTCCGCTCTTCCATCATTAAAAATCATAATTAAATAGATGAAGAAATACATGTTTTATTTTTTATCAATCATATTTTACATAATATTACAACATATATTTCTTATAATCGGAAATTGGTCAATTGAAAGGGAGTTCTGTTCTTATGTACCCATCAAAAAATAGTGTGCCGAATTGGGGAGAAGGGTATAAAGTCTTCTGATCTATTTTATAGTTTGAGAACATCATCAGTGTCAAAACTCTCAAACGAGCTCTTAGCCATAAACAATTAGCAACTAAAACATTGCTTCACTTTACGAAATGTGCCAAGCTGTCTTGTGACTTATGGCCATTTTACAGAATTGACTCAGTAACATTTTTGTTAGTTCTCACTCACTTCTTTCCGGAGTCCCCTTTGGTGGAAGTTGTGGTAACTGCCGTCCTCCCCTGCGACTTGTCATTGGTGTACTGTTGGGACTTGTTTGGACTGATCCACTACGTGGGTGTGACCTGTATGATTTAAAAAAAAATGCTCTTTTTTCCAAGAAAGAACTGGAAAACACATAATTATTAATATAAGGGGAGAACGTGTCAGATCAACTCAGTCACCATGGAATTAGGGCTTTATAAGATAATCATGGTATGAAATATCAAGCTGGCAGGAACATAATGTATCACACTGAAAACAATCGTAAACAGAAGTGTGTAAAAAAAATGGTTTAACAACCATGGTTTCACTCTCCAAATGAAACACCACAGCAAATGCAAAACACAACAGCATGTTAAAAATAAAGAAAAAAGTAAAAGAAAAACAACTTCAGTTTAGATAAAACATAGATTCCAGTTGATTTGCAAGCAGACAATCTTTTCCCCTTTCCAGTACTGGAGGAAAACTTCAATACAAAAGCAAAGTGTAGAACAAGATTTCATTGTAAAATTTGTTTCCGTTGCAAACTGTAATTTTCGTAGCCAGTGTTAGAAGTTTATAACAAGTCATTTTTGCAAGTCTTTTGAAAGCTAGAAAGGATATTCAGTACTGAAAGGGACAAAGATGCAAACCAATCCAGGATAATAATTGGTCACAAAATTAGTGTACAAGATGGAGTGGGTACAATTCCACATTGTTAGGTTACCTTAAATCAAGGAGGGGGAGGAAATGGAGTTACTGAAACCCTCAGGTGTTAGAAATCATCTATGTTTATACCTCACCAAAAGTCAAAATACTGATGGTTCAAAGTGATACCTTTTATGTCACAGAGTATAGTAACACCATTGTAAAACACACCAAAGAACATCTTCAACAAAGACATCATATAAGGTGTGGTTCAAGAAAAGGAGGATGCTGCAAAGGTCACTATAAAGGATTGATTTTTTTTAAAAGAATGATTAACCAGAAGAGGGAAAATCCCTTGTGTTTTATTTTATCATTTCAAACACAACTAGTTCTATTTCTATAAAACTTTTAACTGTATAAATTATTGATGAGGAAATAAGTTTGCAATGACAGGAATCCATTAATACAGTCACAGTCATTGGTTTGTGTCATCTCCTCTATTTCAAAGGTTTAGGCATTTAAATTAGATTTAAAAAATTTAAAAAACGGTACAATTAAGCATTTTTATGCAAAGGGGACCCTCTCCCAAAACCCAACCAGATAAGATGCACCAAATATTATCGTAACAATTCTGTGCTAAACGTGTTTCAACTTAGAATTAGATTAATGAAACGCAAGTGGAATAGCACCAACACCAGCACCCAACACCGTTTGCTCTGTAGGTGATGTGTGTTGCTAAAGACTACACTCAGTTCCTGCTTTAGTGATCTTTGGCTGTAAGAGAAAATCAGAATAACCATGAGGTGCTTAGTGCAGCAGAATTTCCAGGTTCCTAAACACATGTGATTCACATAAACAGATGCTGCTGAAGGAATGTTAATAAACAAAATGTATGATGCCCACACCATTATATCTGTGCAAAGATATAAGTGCTGTGTTGACTCTACAAAGACGTTGGTATTGAGGGCTTCTACTCGCTAATTCTACAATGAAGGGAGACATTACTCAATTACAAGGAAAATAAAGAGTGAGTTGGCGGTGGTGGAGGGGGAAGAGGATTAGTCTGGCAGTTTGATGTATCTCTTTCACCTCGTCAAGGCAGGCGAGGGAGGGGCAGATCTTCCCGATGTTAATGAAGGCATCGATCTCATGACGTTTGTGTCGGCACGTTCAGAGGATCTGGAGCGCTCTAGCACAGGTCGCTGTTCTGTTGATCTGGATCTTTGATATTCCTGTCTATCAGACGCCTCACGATTCCTGTAATGTCAGTCAAAAAGCCACTCAGTTGATCTTTAATCTTTCAGATGCAAGAGTTTATGACATGAATTTTGAAGCTCTGGTCTTATCCGACGTTATTTAACAGGTGATGATCTGTGTAAAGCCTTGGGAAAGAGACTGAGATCTGAGGCTAGATAGGTCTCCAGCAGGGCTCAGAGGAACTATCACAATCAGGCGTTTCGATTCACAGCTGTTTTTTTGTAAAATTGAAAGAGATTAATTTTTGAGCCAAAAAAAAACTTTCTACAGGCTTTCTAATAGATTCATTTAAAACACAATTCTGACAGAAGAGAAATACTGCATTGGAAAGAGACAACTTTTTTTTTAAAAAATACATTTTTATAAAATGTGTGACAATTGGATATCAACTGAACTAAATCAAACCAGCTTTACATCCAACAAACGTGCTGTCCATTTTAGATATTGAGTAAATAAAATACATCATTTTATTCCTCTTTAACAATGTATAAGAAAATCCATCCTTGAAAGCGTAGGCTGAGATTTCTTATTAGTAATTGTTTTATTTTCTTAAAAAAAGAAATACTGTACTGGCTAGAGAAATGGACAGTTTTCATTTCATTGCTTCTGCAAAATTACATAGATTTCCCCCAAGCACAAAACAAGTTGTTACCCTGGTTACATTGCTACTTAGTTTGTCACAGGCACTTGTTTTAAAGCAGGATGAGTGAAGGCCCTTCAGCCCTTTCAATCTCATTCTTCAGAAATACCATCCTGACCATCTTTCCATTAGGGCTTCAAACCATTTAATTACATTCACCCTCACACCCCCAGTCTTTCACCGCCCTTACCCCGAGGTTCTTTCATTTAAAGATACCTCAGCATTTCAAAGGTCAGTAACCGCAGCAATTAAAATGCCTGAAGCAATGGCTTTGTGCCACAGTAATATCTTCTCAGATTAAATTATTTTGTGATACGTGTAACAAACCATCCATGCTTCATTTTTCTCTCCGCGGGAGATATTGGGTCCCTTTTACAAATCTGGTGAATTGAGATCATCATGTAAAGGCTTTTATACAATACAGAATTACATTTGTATAGCGCCTTTCACGTCGGGGCGGCATCCAAAGGCACTGGACGTTTATATCAATCGTGACTACCGCAAAGAATGCATTGGTTCCTTAAATGAATTAACTGATGCATTGGTGAAGATGTCATTTGGTATAATCTCTTTGCAAATCCTAGTCCCAAGAAACAGATATGTAACAATGGATTTGTAGGTAATTGTAAAATATGGTAATATAGCAGGAGGAAGAATGAATGAGCTGAAGGGAATGTTACTCAGGGCAACATTGAAAGAGTTAACTAGATTAGAGTTAAATGTAGAGTTTATATTGTATCATTATGTCAAATGTAATCAAGATGGCTATCAGTACAGTTAATATCAGAATCATTCTGGATAATAAAAAATAAGAACAGGAGGAAGCCATTGTCTATCAAGTCTTTTCCACCAGTTTATAATAATAGTAATAATAATCCTTGCATTTGATATAGCGCTTTTCACGTCAGGAGGACGTCCCAAAGCGCTTCACAGAACACACTGTAAAGTGAATTGACTGTATATTTGTGGGCAAACGCGGCAGCCAATTGTGCACAGCAATGTCCCACAAACAGTCGTAGATTGAAAATGACCAATTTATTATTGTTTTGTTTTGGAGGGATAATTATTAGGCGTGTGGAGTAAGGAAACTTGCCCAAGGTTTCGCCCTGCCTGGAATTGAACTCAGGTCTCTCGCTTGCAAAGCGAGTGCTCTAACCACTGAGCTACAGGACTCCACAATCCCATTTCACCACTTTTTCTGTATACCCCTTAATAATCTGCCCAAATATCTATCTGTCTTTCTATTAAATATCTCAATTGATTTAGCCTCAATGGGCTTCTGGAGTATTCTTCCTCCTCACAACCATCTGGGTGCAGAAATGTCTCCGGATCTCATGTCCAATGGGTTTAGCCCTAACTTTAAGATTATGTCTCATTGTTTTGGATCCCTCTACCAGAGGGAAGAGCTTTTCATTCCCCTTCATTATTATAAACAACTCAATCCCTTCGCTATTTTAAACACCTTTGCTGGTCCAAATAATATAGCTCATGTTTACCCAGCTTCTCACCATAGCAAAAGCCCAACACCTCAAGTATTAATTTAGTGAGTCACCGCTCTCCCACACCCCATGCTAGTATATATTTCCTTAGACTGGGTTCCCAAAAGTGAATACAATATTTTGAATGGGGTCTGACCAGTCCTCTGTGTAACTGGAGCTGTACTTTCTTGCTTTATATTTCAGAGCCCCTGATACAAACAGCAGATGGAGGCAATATATCAAATGCAAGGATTAATATTATTATAAAACCCAGAATCCCATTAGCCTCATTGATTGCTTTCTGCGCCTATTAACTTAGATTTTAATAGCTTGTGCACTTGGATCTCTAAATCCCCTGGCTCATCTACACTATTCATGCTTACCTATTCAAAACATATTCCCATCGACCATTCTTGTATCTAAAATGTACTACTTCAATTTTGCAGTGTTAAACTCCATCTGCCTGCTTTGCAATATTTTGCTATCCTCACTATAAGTTGTGACCCTATCCAAGCTTAGTATCATCAGTAATTGTGCAAATGCATCTCTTTATTCTTATATCCAGGTTATTTCTAAATGGCTAAAAAGGATGGCCCCAGCAACGATCAATCAAAGAATGTCTCTTTTATCTCAACTCTCTCTCCTAATTCCCAATCAATTTCCTATGTCTTTCACAAAATTGGCTTTGATTCCATGGGCTGAAACTTTAGCCAGTAATCTCTTATATGGTACCTTATCAAATGCCTTCCAAAAATCCATATAATTATCATCCATCAACCCTCCTTCACCTCACAGTTCTGATAAACAACTCTATTTAGGTTAGTTAGAAATTATCTATCTTTTTACAAAAACAAGCCAACATATAACATGCCTTTGATCAGTTCATCTTTATCCAGATTCTCACCCTGATGATGGATTCCAGAAATTTGACCATGACTGTTGTTAAACTCATAGGCTCTTATTTGGTTATGCATAATGCTTCAAACTGTATTATTAGTCAGTTTTCTATTCCTGTGAGAATACCATTTGAATTTACCTGCATGTATCCTTGTACCCAATATCAGTTGTCGTCGAGTCACTT